ACTTTTAGGATATGAATTGGACCTTTTGGATATGAATTGAACTTTTAGGATATAAATTGTTGTTGTTTTAGCTGCCAAAATAGGCATTTTATGCCAAATTAAACCCAGAAAAACCGACCAAAGTTGGTCGGTTTTTAATAATAAAAAAGATTATTCCAAAATACCGACCAAAGTTGGTCGGTTAATGAACATTGAATTTCCAGAATTCAACATTACCGACCAACTTTGGTCGGTATTTTTCCTGCACTGTTGAGGTTACCGACCATAGTTGGTCGGTAATGTTTAATTTTAATTATTTTTAAAAAATATATATTTTCAATTACTGACCAAAGTTGATCAGTTTTTTTAAATTTTAATAATTAATAAAAAAAACATAATTTAGTAAAACCGACCAACATTGGTTGGTAAAATTAAATTAATAAAATATATTTCCAACCAAAATTAGTCGGTATGTACTTAAACTTGTCAGATGGCTATTTTAAGCTACCGTTATATTTCCACCCTAATGGTCGCGTTTTGGTCGGTAATTGGCCATAACCGACCAACTTTGGTCGGTTTTTTTGGTCGATTTTTAGCGAATTTCTAGTAGTGGCAGCAGGGCAGTAGAGCTCACTAAAAGGTTGGAGTTAGCTCTTGAGGAGAATGCTAAGCTTAGAGAAGACAATGATGAATTGAGAAAAGAAACCATGCGGCTTAAGGAGGAGCTCTGAAGGGACAGAGAGGCTCGTGCCTAACAGATTGCTATCCTTGTGAAAGTCTTGACCCCATCTTCCTCTCACCCTTGACCCTGGTCCTTCACCCCCTATCTTCAGCCTATTTTGTTATCCCAATGATGCTTTAGTTCTAGTTTTTTTTGTTCTAGTTCTGAGTAGGTTGTAGGATGTTTAGTTTATTTTGCTCTAATGTTTTGAGTCAAGGCTCTAGGCTTAATTTGGCACTGCTACATGCAATATCCTGTAATGTTTTAATGCTTCAGACATGGTTATTTCATCAGCTTAGTTTATTTGCATTGATAATTCTTTTGCTTGTGTTGTAGCCTAAATGGCCATGAATCTTTCATTAACTGTGCTTAGTCTATCTAACATCTTTTTTTTTTTCCGATGATGCCAAAAAGGGGGAAGATAGAGTTGGGGGTATTGGTGTTGATGTGCATGTTGTGTGCTTGTTGTACATATGTTGTACCTGTTCTGGGGGTGATACGGGGTGATGGTGATTACCTGGTTTTAATGTGCACAAAGTTTGTCATCATCATAAAGGGCGGATTTGTTGAGTATTGAGGTTTTGATGATTAACAAAGTTTGTTCAAATGAAATGCTCTAAGAACCAGGTCCTTAATGTAGCTGCTTAACTGCTCTAAGAACCAGCTCCTCAAGGTTAAGAACCATCTCTTCAAGGTTGATGATTGCACGTTTTTGCAAGACAGTAACTTTATCTCAAAGTTACCGAAGTCCGAGTTTGTTGGAAGAGGACTGCTAACCATGATAAGGGTTGTTGTCCAAGAAGATACCTTTGCATAAGTGAGAGACAAGAGTCCCAAGACTTGTGGAGTCCTTGGAGCAATAGGAGTCCTATCAAACGAGAAGCTGACTACGCATAGGACTCCTAAAAAATCTCGAAGTCCGGGGAATTTAAATACTATCTTTTTGGACTGATGGGATCATCCTTTTGCACATCAACTGAAGAACTACATTTTTCACACTCAAGTTGAGTAGAAGTATTGTGTTCTTCTTGATTCAGTCTAGTAAATGTGTTTTAGAAAATCGAGTTGTAATTAAAGTGTTATATACAATTAGTGAGTTTGAGTGAGTGTTTGGTTTTGCAAGTTAGAGTAACTTGTAAATCAAATAGTTGAAGTAGGAGAACTGGAGAATATTGAGTTACAAAATTGTAATCGATACATTTAGCTCATTGTTCTAGTGAAGTTGAAGTTAAAATCGTGGTTTTTGCACCTTTTAAGCCGGGTGATTTTTCACGTAAAAATTATTGTGTTTATTTTACTGCTTATTTTACTTTACGCGTAAGGAGTAAGGTAACGAACTATTTAGTAATCCATAAAGGCAGTCAAACTAAGGTTTAGTATAGTTTCGTTTTTGTTCCGCCTCATGGTCAGTTATCTGGATCTGGTTAGTGTCTATATACTCCTTAAAACTTAATGTGGAATCTTTTAAAGACTTTGTGATAAAAGGAATCTTTGTTAAACATCACAGTTCATTTCATCTGTTTACTTTTCTCCATGTTATTTTGACACTTCCAGTAGCCTAATGAAGCCGAGTACCAAATTCCACAGGAAGTAAAAAATAAACATAAAACACATACGACTTTTGACAATTTCAGATACTAGTAGGAAGTCCATAACGTAATTCATATGCGTCTCGAAGAAGAAGCAAGATTTGCTTTAATTTTCCAAGGATTCAAACAAAAATTCCCCGCTAAGACATCTCTTCTAAATTTAGAGAAGGGTGGCACTTTCTTTTTCGAGATAGAAGAGGATGAAGAAGAAGAAGAAGAAGAAGATGACAACAGAAGTGAATTGCCACGACGCCCATGAATATCACTGCTTTCTAGCCTAAAGCTGAGTTCACTACTAACCCTGAATCCCTTTTCCTTTATCTTCTCATCAGTACTTTTGGTCATTCTCTTGCTATTCATAATCCCAAGCCAGATTTTCTCCCAACTAGAGCTCTTATTATTAGCTTCCTCTTGATCATGAAGAATGGAATTAGGTTTAGGCAGTGCCAAACTTTGCATCATGGGTGGAGGGCTAGGAGGTGGAATGACTTCATTTTGTGGTGGATGATGTATGGGAGTTCCTGGCTTCATTTCCCATTTGAAGGCAATTCCTTCTGTGCTTCGATAATATGAATGGGAAGATTGGTCTACTGTTGACATTCTTGAAAGAATACTGCTAAGGAAGAATGATTGATCATCTTCTTGTGAAAAACCTCTCTTGTGCATTTTGCTATAGCTCACATTTGCATCCTCTTTATCCTGCAAAGCAAGTTCATTAAAGGACATATAAGGAGATTTAAGCTAAACTTATATATATTGTCATAATAATAATGTAAAAAAAATTACTGCCCGTGTATAAGAAGTAAAACTCGGAGATTTATTACGATGCTTTTTTCTCTTATTTTTTACGACAATAGGAATGAGGCGTAGGAGAAGAGAAGAGCAGGTCGAAGGGGAGATCTAGATGGGAAGTAATAAGGATTTGCCCACTTAGATCAACGTCAACCACTGTTATTTTTTATTTTTTGATATCTAATGTGTATTGAGCCTCGACTGATCCAAATTCACACGGCACAATGCCCTATTAAAAGGGAATTTTTTTATATTCGGACTCGAATCAAAAACCTTTGATTACGGGTAACGAAATCCTATTCATCTCACCACAATCATTGATGGTAAAAATTTTGGAAGCCAGTCACTAGCCAAAAGACCATATCCTAGCCATGGCAGAGCAAGAAAACATCCTCTACGGCACCAAAACCCACAAGAGGCCATAGAAGCTGTTAATCACACTCTATCCTTTTGAACAGATCTTGTTCAAGTAAGGTCGCCAAAAAATATAACAATAACATTTTCTAAAATGAAAGCTCAAACCACTCAACGAATTACTTACGAAGCAAAAGATTTTTACGAGTTTAATAAAATATTGAGCTACTTTAAGTAGAGAGATCACAAAATATTTACAAAAATGCCTGTAGTTGTACCATTGAATATGGTCAACAGATATACCATTCTTTACTATGCTTACGCAAAGATTTTACATCAATTCACAAAATCTCTTTATGAATTTGATTAAAGTTTCAGGAGGACAGAAACTCACAAAATGTGTCGTTTTTAGCTAAAAGAAGAATCATACTATTAACTGCTGCACTGATCAAACTTATTAATGGTTAATATTTCTGTCTCTTCAATTAATTCGTATTCCCAAAACTAACATTTCCTTTCATCTTTTAATCTAAATTGGAGAAGAACAAAAATGCACTCACAAATGGAAAATTTTAAAAAATTCCCTCAAAATGGAATTTTTTTTAAAAAACACTCAGAATCAATTCTCCCAAAATCAAATAGATTTATAAAGAACACACAAATGCAAAAGCAAAACAAAGAACAAGACAACCAATTAGTGCTCATTCACAAATAGAAGATGCATGACAGTTTAAAATTATTTATATAACTAGATCACTTAGGAGGCATTACAAATAACATTATATACTATTGATATCTTAAAATAAATGATAACTAACCGACTATAACATACTCTATTAAATTATACTGATAATAATATTAGTATATATAATTTAAATCCTATCGTTAATATCACAAATCAAAACCATAGCATTCTATCTTGGAAAGATGATTACAAATTGCTTAAATGCTAATTCATGAGAAATGAGAATTAAAACTCGTGGCTATTTTTTGCCATGAAAATTGAACATTTTTTTTTTGTATATAGATATCAAATAACTTCAATCCCAAGGGCCCGCTTATTATTCATTAGTGTTTGCACCTTATTATGGTAAGATTGCGAGGAAAATGCCCTACTTTTATCTCCATCCAGCCAACCTTTAGTTATTAAGTTCTCTATATCCAGGAAAAGATTACGTTACTTATATTAAAGATTTTTATAGTACCACTATAATATTTTTGCTTTTGTAGCATGTAATTTGCCTTATTTGTTAAGTTAATAGTCTCACCCTTTATGGATGATTACCTGATATTAAAAATATGTATCTTATAGTATAAGTGTATAAAAGCTAAACTTGGAAAGTAATATTCTAAAAATATGAAGAGTCTACTTAGAAAAAAGAATTCACACAAAATGTAAAAGAAAATAAAATTAGGCGATTCTTGCAATAATACCAACCATTTCTGTGACATCCCATGGGCTGCAAACCTCCATCATATCCCTTCTTCTCCCTAAAGATTTTTCCCTCTCTTGCCTGTTTGAGTTATATGAATCTGTTGAGGACGAAGATGAGGACGATGAAGTCGAGTTCTTGAACGAACTGGCAACGAATTCTCCATCAGAATCACATGGCCCAACAACATCACTTCCATGCATTAATTCTGAATTTTGATGAGATTTTCCAAAAGTTTTTAATTGATGCAATTTCTTATTAATCTTGTTCGAAAGCCAAACCTTCAAACTTTTCGATTCTTGAGGTTCATCATCATCAGTATTAATAAAACAAGGCTTGGGCAACCCCAAGCTTTGAATTGAAGGTGGAGGGCTAAGTGGTGGAACGACATCTTCGTTTGGTGGATTCTTAGGAGTTCCAGGCTGCTTCTCCCATTGAAATGGAACCCCTTCAGCTCTTCTATAATAATAAATACGTGATGATTGTCCTACCGATGATTCTCGAGAAAGTATTCGACTGAATTGGAATCCATTATCACCTTGATCTCTTGAATCCATTTTGTTAATGTTGTAATATAGAGTTTTTTATGAAATTTTGACAAGGTCTCTATAATGTTTTAATGAGTAAAAAGTGTATGTTGGCAGTTTTATGCTCATTTAAGCATATATATAGGGAGGGACAGAAATTGAGGAAGAGTGGAGTGCGAGTAATTATCCTTATTCAAAGGCGAAAGAAGAGAAGAATGCACATGATCCTGTTTTGTAGACTATGAAGAATACTTGGATTAGTATTGAAACTTATGGTATGAGCTAGTATTTTGTACACATACAAACCAAATCTCTAGTTTCCTTTTTTTTTCTTTAGGGGTAATGATCAGCCATGGCAAGATTAGCGGGATGGTAATTAAAGGGTTGGTTTAATGCTCGGAAAGCTTTTGCTTCGCGTGCATATCATTCCAAGCCCATATTACTTATATGGCATGATCTAATTATAATATATTTATTGATTTGGTGTAAATATATTATGTGAATAACTAAAATTAACGTACCCTAAATTACTCCCATTAAGTGCCCCAAGTCAGGCAGCAGAGTGAAAAAGAAATCTTGCACCTTTACGATACAATTATTCCCCTTCTCCCCCATTTCTATGTGTTACTATTTCTTTATTAGTTTATTTACAAAATATGACATAATTTAATTTAAACCTCTTATTCTACTCTTAACGTTATATTTTAATAGAGAAGTATCATATTAGGGTTATGCATGTATAAGTCCAAAAGAACTATGATGACTCTCAATATGGAATTGGAAGAGCAAGATGGGCTAAGGTTGACACATTAACATGATATTCAATTTGTGATACAAATGGTGTCCCCATTTTTGTGGTTTATATTAGTTAGCTCCTATATTTTAGCCGTTATTACAGGAATCACTTTTTCTTTCTTTTTCTTTGGCAACTAAGATCTTTTAGTTTGTCGGCCTCTCTCTTGCCTAATCATGTTTAAGTTTTTCTTTTTTCTTAAAACTAGTGCTAGAACCCGCGCGTCACTCGAATAATTTAACAGAATATTAATCTTATAAAGTTATGATCTAATATATTAAATTATTTTAATAAATATTAATTATTATTTTATTATTTCATGTAGTGTACAGAAATGTAACAATATCTATACAAAACAAAAGAATACAGTAAATAGTAATCAAATAAATTATTTGTTCCTTATTACTCTTTATTATTATTAAATTAGCAAGTACTTAGTACTATACATTTACTAATANTTTGAATTGAAAGTTTTTTTATTTCTTTATTTTTGTTTTAATTATTTTAAAATAATTTTAAAATTCCAAGCTAAAACTATTCCCCAATTTGAATTGACAATTTTTAAAAAAATATTCTTTAACTCCAACTTGAAACTACTCCCCAATTTGACACATTAACAGGATATTCAATTTGTGATACAAATGGTGTCCCCATTTTTGTGGTTTATATTAGTTAGCTCCTATATTTTAGCCGTTATTACAGGAATCACTTTTTCTTTCTTTTCCTTTGGCAACTAAGATCTTTCAGTTTGTCGGCCTCTCTCTTGTGTAATTATGTTTAAGTTTTTCTTTTTACTTAAAATAGTATTAGTACCCGCGCGATGCGCGGACACAAATCATGTCAAATTGTGATGTAGGTTGTTTGAATCATGTGCAAATAACCTAAAAATATAAACCTCTCAGTTAAAAAATAGATAACATTAGATATTAATTATGAAGTAGGATATGAAATTATTGTTCAAATCTCGTAGTGCACAACCTATTTTTTTAAATATATTTGTAGCAACCTAACCCATTGATTTTAGTACTTGCATTTCGTTTCGCTGTCAATATTAAAGAATACTAAACATATCATGTTGTGATCTATTTTGTTTGAGCACATTAGATCATAGTATTATTTTAACAAAATTCTTATTATCACTTTGTTTTTATCTGAAAGTCAAATATGTCTTATTCATCACATCATTTTTACGCAAATTCTTTTTTTTTTTCCTTATAGTTATTGTATTATTTATTATTTAATATTATTGTACTATCATACATTTTTTATTAGTTAATTAAATTAGTGTCTTTCTTATTATCCTTTTAATAGACTTTAATAAATATAAATATTTCATTCTTGAAATTTGGTATATTTTTATGCTTGTAGCCTCTTATTCGGATTTTTTTAATCATTTAAATTAATTAAATATTTTTAAATATAATTTAATTTTTTAATTTATTTATTTTTAAATTAATTTAAAATATAAGTATCCTCACACTACCTCTATTTTTGTTTATATATTCTCTTCCCTACTATAAAGTTTAATTAGTTTTTATATTAATGTTTTACCTATAACCAAAATAATATCATATTTTATTTTAAATTGTAAATTTGAATTAGTGTAAAATATTAATACATAAGTTAGTTGATGATTATATTCCAAATGTATTGAGTTCTCTTATAATTATTTTGTATTAGATGCAGTTAAATTTTCTTTCTTTTTTAGCTTTAAGATACAAATTTAATTTTTAATTTTTATTAGTAAAATTACCAATATTAGAAATTTATTTGTATTTTAAAAATTTTGTTTTAATCATAGAAAAATAATTTCTTAATTGTTTGAACATATTATATGTATGTAGTAATATTTGTACTGTAATTGTATTTCTTTTTGTAATATTTTCAACAAAAAAAAAATTATGAAATAAAAAAAATCTCATCTCAAATTCAAATAAGTTTTACCCTTTTTCTCTATGATAAAAATCTGAATTTTTATTTTTTTCTCTATTCATTCTTTATTTTTGATATTATATTATTCAATACCTAATATTACTACATTGTCATGTGGATTTTTATTAGCTTGTTTGAATTTAATATCTATTTCTACCGCACTCATTCTAATATAATATAGATAAAAATTTAAAAACTTTCTCAAATTCAAATAATTTTTATTATTCTATTTTCTAAATTTGACCGCAGTTTCAAAAAATTATGTTATGCTTTCAAACTTAAACTAATTGCACTCAAGTCAAATATTAATAATAAAAAAATATTTTCTTAATTGTCTGAACACATTATATCTGAATGTTGTAGTAATATTTACGTATAAAATATTCGTTTGCCCGATTTATCAATATTAATATGACTTTATTATTCTTGTTATTAAAATATTTTTTACTGATTATTTTTTTTTACCTTTTGTATACTTTATGTAAGATCTTATTTTGCTGCTTGAATTTATTTAATTTTTAAACTCAATAAATCTTTAATATCTTAAGTAAAGTTTAGTTTTATTTTATATTTTAACTTACTCCAAAGTACAAATAGTCACAGGTTATCTCAATTTACGTCTTTCTATACTTTTTATTTTCTTCTATTATAATTTTTAATTAATTGTTTACCTCCATATTTCTAACTAATATAGAAAACAATCTATGGGTGGATCAATATATAGATATAAATATAGATATAGATACAAATATACTTATAAATACAAATATAAATATAAATATAAATATAAATATAGAATATAGATTAGATTTGTCTAAGATCTATTTAGATTAAGCATAAGATTCATTAAACTACTTTCAATAATTATGTTTTCATTTATAATTTTTAATTATTAATGTTATCCTAAAATTTCAAGTGACTTCATTTTAGCTTGCCACTTGGCTTAATTTCATGCTTCACTACCCTCCTTTTAATATAATATAGATGTAGATTTTTATTTTTTCTATTATAATTTTTAATTAATTTTTTATATCCATATTTCTAGCTAATATAGAAAAAAATATATGGGTGGATCAATATATAGATATAAATATAGATATAGATATAAATATACTTATAAATATAAATGTAGATATATAGATTAGATTTATCTAAGATCTATTTAGATTAAGCATAAGATTAATTAAACCTACTTTCAATAATTATGTTTCCATTTATAATTTTTAATTATTAATGTTGTCCTAAAATTTCCAAGTGGCTTCATTTTAGCTTGTCACTTGGCTTAACCACAATACATACTACCCTCTTTTTAATATAATATAGATTTGTGCTCATTCAAATTACGTCACATACACCGAAATAGATGAAATGGCAATTTTATCACCAAATTATCAATCAATATTTTTCCAAAGGAAAATAGATAGATGGTTTGTTTAGTAACTTTTTCTTTTCTCTCTCTCCCTTTCTCTATATACATATATAAAGTATTCAATTTGATATTCAACAAATCTAAGAGACGTAATAATGGTCTCTACTTCATATGCCTTTTGACTTCAAACTTTGAGATTATCGACATTAACTTCACAATGTAATAAAGTCACTTGGAACTAAACATTGTACTCTATTTTATCAAGTGATCGCTTGTCAAAAACTTTATAACTTGAACTACAAGAATGAAACCGGATCTCGGGGATACATATTAGAATGCATTAATATACGATTGTATTGAAGGTAATAGGAGAATGAAAACATTATTCTAAATTATCTTTCTCTATTTTAGACATATTTCCATTTTTATTTGATATTTCCATGGAACTCTGAGGTTGCAAAAACCTTATTCCAAAAGCAGGTTTTTAACGCAATAACAAATTTTATTTCTAATGACATGCGTCAAGTTAATTCATAATTGTTTGCATTTAGTATGTATATTGCACTTGTATAATTTTTTAAAATTAAAAATAACAATTATACCTCAGTTCAAAATGAGTTGGAGTTGGCTATATGAATTCTCATCGACCACGTTACTCTCTATTTAAACTTATCTCATGCCATATATTATGTATAAATTTTCAAAATAAAATTCAGGAAAAATTTCAAATTCTACCTTAAAAGAGGACTCTTAAAATATCTTTTATTGTGGGAGTATTGTTTTTCCTCTTTGTTACTGTGTTTATTTCAGGTAAGTAGGCTTCCTTTTTGTCATATCTAAGCAAAGAGATATTCTTTTATACTCAAGGTTACGTTCGGATGTCTCTTATCCATCTTAAGATGGTTGATGCATGTGCAATTACTAAAATTCTAAGACAACCCTTTGTATTACTCTTGTCAATATATTCCCTTGTCCAAAATAATACCATTTG